GCCATCCAGTCAGCGCCTTGGCTGGACCGACCATGGATCTGTCTGATAGTCTGACTTGACCAACCTTGAACCTTGAAGAATGTGGGGAATCCCTCCTGCTCCCACATCAACAAGCTTCGAGCCATGCTAACGAGATTCCACATCGCACGCTTTTTCCCCGGATTCTCACTCTTACTTTCCCAGAACAAGACCAGAGGTTTCGCTTCCCGGATTCCGAGCGATTGCGCTTGATTTTGCCGACCGAAATCCGGAGATTTCAAGATTGAGTGATCGCCACTCCCGCCGGCGTACCCGCAAGCAGGCAGCGCGAGTCAGGGCACGGGCACTAACGGGCACGGTCTTACCCGGCGTCCAGCCCCAATCCTTGCCGCATGGATGCGACCTTGCATCACCGCACATCAATGACGCCAACAATTCACTGATTCACTGTCACACTCGTCACCGCCTACCGCCTTGTATTTATGGGATCAACACCACTGCCTCTGGTGTAAAGGACCAGCTACACGATCATCATGGGGGCTCAGTATCTGTTGTTGTGAGTGTCGATCTTACCCATTAGAGAATACCGCTAACGAGTACATCAACCAGCCACTGTACCTACACCATCCCGGTCGCAGCCCTACTAACGATATTCTACTACCCGTTCTTTACGAGCAGAGACACCTGCAAGATCACATTTTTGAATATTGTACCCCCACCCTCTGCCCCCTTTGCCTTCAAAACGAAACCTGATGAATGGTAGCTAGCGGTAACAGCCACAATACCATGGGACTCCTACCTGATCCGCCACGGGATCTGGTCCTACCCCCGGGACGCCACCTTCAACCGAACCCTCTACGACATCCCGCTGGAGGAAGTTGCCTTCTTCGTCCTGCAGACCTCCATCACGGGGCTGGTGTACTGCATCTGCTCCAAAGCGTTGGTGCTGCCCATGTACCTGCCCGTGCAGCCGGTGCGGCGAGCGCGAAGTCTGGGGGGACTGGGGTTGGTCGCGTCGTTTGCGATCGGGATGATTTGCTTTGTATCAGGGGGAGGAGGGACGTATTTCGGGTTGATTGTGATTTGGGCTTCGCCGGTTGTTTTTCTTCAATGGTGGGTGGCTTCCTCTGCTCCCGCAGGGACCGATCAAGGGAGGGCTAACGCTGGTCAGGATGCTGGTCGCCCCGTTCATCCTCAGTCTTCCGTGGAAAGTGACTACCCTTCCGATCGTCCTTCCGACCGTGTATCTGTGGATCGCGGATCGCAGCGCCATGGCCGCGGGGGTGTGGTCGATTGCACCCGCAACGCAATTGGGGGTTCATGTTTTCGGGCTGGAGATTGAGTATTCCCCCTCATCATTTCCATTGTCTATGTGTAAGCTAAGAAACCCGCAGGGAAATGCTCTTCTTCCTCGTGACGAATGTGATGATCGTCTTCGGCCTGGTTGGGTTCGACTACGCCTGCGCGATGGCCGACTACACCACCATCTGCACGGGTGATGCGCCCGGCACGACGCGCGATGCGGTGAAGGACGTCCGACAGGCGGTGATCCACCCCCCGGCCATTCAAGCTTCAGTTATCACCGATCTCCAGCAGGCGGTCGCACGGCTGCACGAGAAGAGCCAGAGCATGTTCGTGGGGAGTGCACTGTTCCAGGGCCCGGTGCGGGTGGATTTGATCTACGTGTACGCCTCCCCTTACCCATTGCCCCAGCAGTGAACCCCGCTCACAAAAACAAGATACTCCTTCTGCCGCGTGATCGACGATCTCATCGACGAAGCCGAAGACGCAGGGGAAGCACAGTTCTGGATCGCAGAGTGCCGGCGGTGTCTGGACGCGCGGATCCGCCCGAAGGACCAGCCACGCTGGGCGAGCCCTAAGCCCCCGTACGATCGAGCCAAGCAGGCCCTCCTGCACCGCGCAATAGCCACCCTGCCGCTGGCCCGAATGACCACGCAACCCCTCTACGACCTCCTCAGGGGGTTCGAAATGGACCTTGCGTTCACCGCTCAGTCCACTGAAACGTCCACGGAAAAGCACAAGGTGATCTTCCCAATAGCAACAGAACACGACCTCGACCGCTACGCGACCTACGTCGCCAGCACGGTCGCCGAGCTCGTCCTGGACCTCCTCCACCACCACTACAACCAATCCCAACTCTACAGTCACACCGCAATGGCGTTCGCCGGCCGCGAGATGGGCAAGGCGCTGCAGTGCGTCAACATCGCGCGGGACATCCACCGCGACGCGGCCATCGGGCGCGTCTACATCCCGACAACCTGGCTGGCCGAGGCCGGGCTCACCCCGGCGGATATCCTGGTGAATCCCCGGTCGCCGGCGGCGTACGCGATGCAGGCGAGGTTGCTGGACAAGGCGGAGGGGCTGTATGGTAGGGCGAGGGGGGCGATCGAGGAGTTGCCGGCTGGGGTACGAGGGCCGGTGCGCACGACGGTGGAGAGCTATATGGAGATTGGGCGGTATCTGCGGGAACGGAGGGGAGAGAGTCTGCGGACGGCGCGGAAGATGCGCTTGCCGGTGGGGAGGAGGGTAAGGGTGGCGTGGCTGGGGATGTTGTAGTGGCGTGCAGCTAGGGGTGAAGGCCGGGTCATGAATAAAATTGTTTAGACGTCAATTCCTAGCGAGATCTGTTGCATGAAAGTTACTATGCTAGCTTCGACGCGTACTATCTCCCATCCATAAGTATAAACCCCCACCCCAGAACACACAAACCCCTCTCAAACAAGCCTAAACCACAGCCAAACCGGCGGCCACCCCACCCCCAAAGACAATCCCGCCAGCAACACCGCCACCACCACCACCACCACCAAGCCCAACCCCCCAGAACCCCCCCA